TAAAAGGGAGGGGGGAGGGGTTTGTGCGGGGAGAAAGGTGCAACAATGAATGAATGGAATCCCAAAATCTCTGTAGATGTTCATTGAAATGAAAAATAAATAACCTAAATTTAAAAAAAAAAAGAATACTCTGACTACAAGCACGCTTGATTAAAACAGGGACAAAAACTCTGGGATACACTTTGAAGTATATGAATGTAAATAATGGCACAAGCCTTGCCTGACCAGAAGTCTCTCATGACCTCAGTCCACATTTCCTCTCTTATCTTACTTGTCGGCATTCTTCTCTTTCATGAAATTCAAATTTAACCACTGGATTTCTGCCAATTACTGTCTGTAGTGAGTTATGCTACCAACCCAAAGGCTGCAGTTTTCTGGCGGTCTGAATCCACCATGGTCTCTAAATGGAGAAAAGATGGAAACTGGCTGGAGGATTGGCTATGACTCAGAAACTACTGATAGTAATGAGTTTTGGGTTTCTGTTAAACAAATTACACTAACCATTTATTTTTTCCCCCTCTGTACCAAGTTTTGCATAGTCAATGAAGCACAGACAGACATTCTTCTGGTATTCTCTGCTTTCTGACAAGATCCATCTTACATGAGCTATAATATCCCTAGTACTACGACCTCTTCTAAATCCAGCCTGCACATCTGGCAGTTCTCTGTTGACATACTGTTCCAAATGTTTTTGGATAATTTTCAGCAGAATCTTGCTTGCAAGTGATATCAATGATATTGTTCGATAATTTCCACACTCTGTTGGGTCACCTTTCTTTGGAATGGGAACAAATATCGTTCTCTTCCAGTCAGTTGGCCAGCTGGCTGTCCTCCCTATTTCCTGGCACAACTTAGTGAGCATATCCAGGGCAGCGTCTGTTTGTTGAAATAAATCAGGTGGTATGCTGTCAACTCCTGGAGCCTTGTTTTTTGCCAATTCCTTCAGAGCAACTTGAACTTCCTCCTTCATCACCATAGGCTCTTGCTCGTATGTTATTCGTATGAAATTCCTCTGTGTCAGCCAATTCCTTCTGATACAGTGACTCTGTGTACTCCTTCCTTCCATCTTCTTTTGATACTTCCTGGATCATTTAACATTCTACCCAAAGTATCCTTAAGTATTGCCACCCGTGGCTTGAATTTGTTTTTCAACTCCTTCAGCTTAAGAAATGCTGAGCAAGTCTGGCCCTTTTGATTTTCTGACTCCAGCTCTCTGCACATTTCATTATAGTATCTTGCTTTGTCGTCCTG